TATTTTTTTCATTGTAATTTAGTAATATTAATTCATCATTTCACTTCTGTCCCACTAATAAATAAATTTCTGTACCTAATTTTACCATTACCAATCAATTTTAGTGCATAAAATTAAATCAAGTACGATGACATCATCATTCCCAAGTCTACAAGTTTTCACAACATAAAAGTATCCCTTTTTCTTTATTTTCAGATTATACCAATACAGACTTTTCATTGCATAAACGAAATGCACATTGCAAATTCAAAAAAAAATTAAAAAAAACCCGAACATTAATTTCAATCCAAATATGGGTCTATAAAATGTAGTTCAAGGCTTTTAATCGTTGATGTTGTTTTATCAGTTGATTTCTTGTATAATGATTTGAAATTATGTATTTTGCTTTTTTCTTTTTAATTTGTTTTACAATTGAAAAGTAGTTTTAAGATTGGTTCAAAAATTCATTGATATTCAATTTACACTAGGTGTCGATTACCACAGAATTTTCTCCAAAATTAGTCATTCTAAATAAGTTTTGCACTAATAAAAGGAACTGAAATAAATGGTACTCGTATGATCAACAGAAATTTCAAGCTTTCTTGTATAAGATTAAGTTCAATTCATTTTCATATGTAGCTCTTACTGCATTAAACCTTATTAATGTTCAGAATCAGCTTGTAAATGTAGTTATGGAAGTACTCGGTGCATTCTCATGTAATTCGCCTTCTGATAATATAGGTCACATGAGAAAATTAAAAATTAAGCTAACTTGGCATAAGTCTAGTATAGGTGCCAACTCTTTTTCACTTTTTTATTTCCCAAACTTGCATATTTTATAAAAATTCAGCATTATTTTTTATCGAATTGGCATATCGTGTATTTTCTTTGCTTATTGTTCTCATTGCTTACCTAATTTTGAATTTTCAAAATTTAAACGCAGATTTTTATCAATTTCCAGACTACTTTAAATGACTCTAAAAAAAAGTAAAAACAATATTTTTCATTAATTTTTTTGATTTTAATTTAATTTTTTTAAACGAGGATAAACTTATATAATGTTGTTTAAAATAATGGTTAGGTGCTCACATACCCAAACTATCTGAAATATTTACATACATGTGTACATATGTTCAAGAAAACAACTTTAATAAGTTTTGCAAAGAATGTTGTTATATACATTATTTATTTTCTTTAGCATACATTGGATATTTTTACAGATTATACGTAAGAGTCACTGAATTCTAAAGTTCAAATTATGTTCCGTGTTGTATTTAAATTGTTTTTAAAGTATATAAATTTCTATTTCATTCCAATATATGGGAAATCATTAAATTGGAAATAGTTTTCGTTATTAAAAATACTGCAATTGTACTTGCACATCCCTCGTCCTTTAAGCCCAGGTAAAAATAAGAAACATAATGAGTTGTTTTATAATAAAGCACCACCATGATAACAATTCTGTTTAAAATAATTTATTAAAAAAATATGGTACGAGTACAACATAAAAAAAATGCAATTAATAATAAACATTACTACCATATTAGGGAAGATCAGAACGAGTACAACAAAATTAACATGTACACTACTGTTTTTCATTTTAGGACTTTTCATGATTTTTTTTTTTACATTTTCTTATTTTAATGGAAAGGTGATATCATGTTTTTATAAAAAAAAAAATTGTTTTACTTAACTGGTAGAATATCATTTCCAAAATATTCATGATGCATTTATGTTGCACAAGAGTCAAGACCAGACATTATTCTATAAAAGACAAAATCATGATAACTTGTTTTTTTGGATCACCGTTGAGATTAATCAGTGTATTGAATGGTTAATTTTCTTTAATTTTTCTCTTTCTGAATTTTATTTTATTTGGTGATTAAAAATGGAAAGTGAAATCTTTGACGTACTTTTTTTTATTTTAATTACATAATTTTAAAACTATTGTTGTCATTTAAAAAATTATAAACAAAAACATCATCGTAAAAAATTTTAGATTTGATGAAATACAAAATTTTTCTTTTTTCCAATAAGATTATACGTTTTTTCAATTGGTTTTTTCACAGAAAGTGAATAAATGATGATGATTCACAGCCTAATTGAATATCTCGTTTTTCTTACTCACTTTTAATTCACTTTCAAATCCGAATTCTCCGTCTTTTAATGGCTATTTCATTTTTCCAATAAAACTCATTTTTTCCTCATTAGATTTGTGACAAAGATAAACTCATTTTATCAATTGGATTTGTGCATTTTTTTTTAAATTATCGACTGATCGTCTCACTTTCAAAAACAAAGTGAATAAATTTTGTATACATTTTATAATCATGCCCTATAATTTAAGTTCAAATTGAATTTGAAAACTTGAATTCAATATTCATTGCAAGTTTTAGAAGTTTAACAGTTTAAACATTTTAATTAAGTTATTGAAATGTCTTTTTAAATTGAAAAAATCTTTGGAGTACATATTGGAATAATAGTGAATTAGAAAATGAAATTCCAACATTTTTTAAATTATTCCACAGGGCGTAGACGATCTGATAATTTGAGACAAATTTTACTCTTATTGATTCTATCAAACCCATTTCAATGGTTCACCTTCACAGTTTTACTAGGTTTTACCGTTTTCCTTTATAGAATGAAGATAATTAAAAACAAAAATTGTTATTAAAAACAATTATACTTATTAAAACAAAAAAAAATATGTAATTTAATTTATATAAAATATATTTGTTTATTTTTTCTACTATTTTTCAATATAAAATCCATTTTTATATTGTATACAGAAGTTAAATTGTCTTTATAGCTTTTTAAAATAATACGGAATTTGTCTTTTTTTATCATTATCTTACATTTAAATCTATAATAATAAACTCTGGTTTCTTATTAATTAAAAATTTAATTGTTCAAGTATAAATTTAAAATATTTTTAACAGTCTAACGAACAACTGCAGTCTATCATTCTTTGAAAACACACTAAAATTAAAAAATCCAAGAGAACAACAAGATAAAAAAAAATGATCAATGTATGAAATTGTCTTTCTTTTCAAAATTATTTAATTACATATTTAGAATTTAAGAATTGTTTCTTGTTTAGAAGAAAGTTAAATGAAAAAATTATGTAAGGAAAAATTTAAAAAGAGATAAGATGGCAGTAATGCTATGTTTTAAATTAATTTAAAGACAAGTTAAAAAGTTTGTCTTATTAAATTTCATTATCTTGCAAATTATTATATTTAAGGCAATTTGAATAATTTGTTATTAGTTAACTTAGTACATAAAAATCTTCCTAATTTAACATAAAATATCGTTTCGAGATTTCTGTTTAAGGAACAATAAACACGAGTTTTAAGTTTTTGAAATAATCAGATTTTTCATATATGTATGAAAAATTTAACAGATGAATAAAATATCTTCTAAAACGAAAGTTATCTACTCAACTTATATGATTGCTTTATTTTAAATATAAATGATCTTGATATAGTTGCCGCTTAAAAACATTCAAATGGCAGAGAAATGTAAATGTAGAAATGTAAAAATATAAAATAAAATAGAGAACTACGTAAGTAAATATTTTAGAAAATAATACTGGATGAGAAAATTAAACGAGATTTATTAATGAGAATAAGACACGAATGGAAAAAAAATGTCGATTTTGTGACAAATTTAGTGTTTGAAATAAATTTTATCGATGGAAATTATAAATTGGTTTGTTATGAGTAAAATGAATTCTAAGCAACACTATATGTATTCACCACACCAAAAATTATTTAATTTTAGCAACTTGTACATTTGAATAAAAAATCTCTCATTCAATAAGAATTCAATAAGAACTGAAATTAATATCAATTATTATAATTAAATTGTTGAAATCATTTATTGATTCAAATCTATAGAGAGCATTGAACAAATTATAATAAAAATATTATTCTAAATGAATAAAAATGTTCTAAATGAGAAAAGTTCATAACAAAAATAGATCACACATTTTAAGAAAACAAATAAAAAATTCACACACAATAATATAAACCACAAATGAGTTATAGATTGCCTTTGAAATGAAAGTTTTAAAAAATTACTAACCAATATGCGTAAAAGTTAAAAATTTAAAAACTCATTAGAACGTACTAAAAAATTAAATTCTTAAAACTAAATTCTTAAAGTATTAATATAAAAATATAAACTATAAATAATACAATAAAAATGGAAGAACTTATAATAAAGCTTTATATAATTATTCAAATATTTTATATTTAACCTCTTAATTTTTAAAAATGTTACCAGTAAGGAATCACAATTAATTTGAATCGAAATCCAATAAGTAATTTGTTTTAACGTTCTATTAAAATTTAATGATCGTTAAAAAAATTACCATAAAAATTTAGGCTAACATGAAAATACAATTTCATATTTTTTTAATAAAGTTTGAAATTTTGCAATAAAAAATAATAATAAATTTCATAATTTGTATTAAAACTTACATATTTAGGTGTTATGCGTTTATTAGTTTTATAGTTCTACTTTAATTCGAGTTGTTAGAAACTGGGTAACTTTTTCTTTAAATAAAATTTTAATATAAAAAGGGAATTGAATTATTTCATGCAAATTTCATAACTAGGTTTTAATATGGATAATCCAATTATGTATAAGTATAAGTAAATTTTTAAAACTAAAATAAAACTATTTACAAAATAACCATGATTTGTAAAATTAAATTTAATATTAGCAGACTCTTAAATGCCCTTTTCATATACATACATAGTTGATTTATATTTAAAAAACTATTTTATATAAAAAAAAAAACAAAATATTTAAAAACTATTACTTTTTTAAAGTAATTTAAGGAATTTTCATTTTGTATGGCTATGTTTTATAATATAAATTTCTTTAACAATCAATTTTAATTTAGTAATGGCAAGAATTTTCATTTATTGTAATACCATTCTGTATATAAGTGGTAAATAGTTATGTGAAATTCTTTTAAATTTTTATTTGTTTATTTATATGGATGTAAATTGCACAAATGTTTCTAATTTTCTAGATAATTTAAAATTCCAGATACAAAAATTTTTGTCAAATTCATAAAATTTTAAAGTTTTCCAGAAGAGCTAAATAAAATTTAATGTTTTAATTTAAGTTGTAACAGAATAGCCACCCGTTAATGGTGGCATTAGCAATAAATAAACTTTATTATTCTAATTTGTTTATAAAAAAAGGTTCATATATCATGATCATTGATTTGAAATGATCATTTCTCAACATTTGATTATTTTTTCGATTTTAATAGAAAATATATTTTTTTGATATACAACTAATGAAAGTGTTTGATGTTTAAATTGTGTATACAGATTTTCTAATTTTAATCAACTACGCCTAAATGAACAAGTTGCTGCATACATCGTTGTAAATATGTGGGATCTGGAAACATGTTAAATTGAGTTTTATGATCTACACTATTCCATATAACAACATCTTCTCGACCAGTTGTAGCTGAACGTCCAATAGAAAATAATAATCGACGATCAAATGCAATTTTTAAAAAACGCAAAACTTTTCTTCCCAATGGGCAATCAGGTAAGTAACAAATTCTTGGAAATCCAACAGCAAAAAATGCACGACCTGGATGTGGATGTTCTTCTGTTTGTACTCCAGATGCAATACTAAAGAAAACGAAATTGTGAACAAATCACATATTATTAGAAATTGCTTTATTTTATACTTACTTATAAACAATTTGTATAGTGTTTTGACCTTCATGTCCTGGTAAACTTTTTGGTATGATTACCCATGACATTGTTCCAGGAGGTTGATTGCCAATTTTTTCCCCGTAAACAATGCCACATACTGGACATTCAATGTAAAGGTTCTTAAAATTAAACACAATTTTAAATATTTTTTTTTCAAAGATTTTTTTTTAAATTTCTACCTTATTAATTTCTTTTTGTTGATTTATAATCATTTCATTCAAACACTGCAAATGCATTAAATGCTGACATCGACTTAATGAAATTGTTGGGTTCTGTGATTGATGAACTAATTCCTCCATACACATTGGACATGGTTGTGCATTCGGCCATTTAGGTGGATCAACAACTTTTACGAATCTACTTATCATATCACTAGCTGGATCCACACCAACGATCGAACCAGCGATTTGTTGTTGTGGCAAGGGTGGTGGCGTTGGGGGTAATGACGATATACCACTACTGCCAGCATTTCCGTTAACATTTAGAGCAGAATGGTGACCATGCGAAGAAGTTCTCCTACCACGATTAATACTATGATGCATACTACCATTTATTGGTATCCCAATCGATTGCTGGCTACTAAATACCTCATCTGAACCAATCGAAACATCTAATAAATCATTAACAGATACTGCAAAATTTCTACTTCGTAGGCTGTCTTTACTTTCATGACTCCCGTGACTTAGATATGTTGAAACTGTATCAACGCTGGGTCGGCGATGTGACTTTAAACTATTTGAATCGGTATCTGAAGCACGTGTTCTAGAGCGCGATCGATGAGAAGAAAGACGACTACGATGTGATCCATCTGAACTTCGGCTATAATGGCTATTCATTGACGCTGTAAAAATATTTGAATGTGAAAAGCTGTTAAAGGAGTGTGGTGGTACAGGTGGTGGAGTTCTTGATTTACTATTCACAATGCTCCCCGAATTCAGAGAATTACTTAGTTGATGAATAGGTGTGGTACCGCTTTGATGATTGTGATGAGAATTTGCTGAAGCCGTTGACGGCGCATGCTTATGCCCAAATATATTAAGATTATTTAGGATTTGTCTGGCTAAATTGGTTGTCGTTGAAGTAGAAAATTCGCCATGTTTTTTTGTCGCTTTAATTGGCCGATTTTTACTAACACCTGAAGTTTGAGGATGATTGCTTATATGTAAATTTGATAAATTTGCAGTTGGTGGTAACGGCAAGGGTGTTGATTGAAGATGTTTTGGTTTTGGAAGAGGTTTTGGTGGTATTCTTGGAGTAGATTGTAATTGCTTACATTCTGCAAATGCTACAAAAGTAGAATTATGCATAGAAATATTAAAAAACGGACAAATTTGTTAAAATTTTAGTGGGCTCCTAAACTATACTTACTGTTTAATTGAATAGCTTGTGCTGGTGTTATTTTAACTAACGGATAAGGGGCCTGCAATATTCTCCTAATACATCTAGCTGGTCCATTAGGTTTCCTTACTTGAGTCATATTGCAAAAGTTCATTACATACGGCATACCTATATTTGTAGTAGATAAGTCGAATGTCTGTTCCCCTTTAGCCCATGCCTCTTCTATAATGATTTGAACATTCATGTTATATGGATACCAATCTGTTCCGCTTGTGCCACACCATTCCCACTTTGTACCTTTTCCGGCTGGTGAGCTGGGTTTATATAAAACACGATTCACATTTAAAGTTGAGAGATCAGTATCCTCGGTACTTTGAGTCATTGTCCGTACATTGACATAAATTTGCTCAAAATCAGGATCAGCATCGCTTAACAACACTCGCGTTAATTTTTTTGCATGAGCCCTTTCCAAATGTTGACTGACAGCAGGAGAATACGGTAACCATTTTCCCCCACGAGTCTCATATTCCCATACTACAACTGCATGATTACTTAAACTTGATGTGTTTGCCATGTCTCTTATTATAATACTCTATATTTTGCCAAATTTAAAATTGAGAATCTCTCAATTTTAAGATACTTAATATAACAGGTTGTGATTTTAATTCTATGGCTAAATTTTCTTTGTACTCTAAAGTTGGTGCAGTTTTTTGTTGTGATTCAACTGGAATAATTAAATGACACTTTTATTTGAAATTTGATTTCCTCGTTTAAAAACCCATTTTGTATGTTGAGTATTATAAACTAAACTATACTGTATTTTAAGAAAATATTTTTAGAGGATCATGGATTTTTTTTGAGAAGTCACTCGTAATTTGCAAACAACAGCAATTTTTTTTACTTACTTGTTACACCTTACACCTAAAGTGTATCAAGTAGCAACACTATTCATTATTTATTCAATGATCCATTTTTCACTTATTTTTATATCCGCGTTTTACAAAAATTGTACAATAAACTTTTTGTAACTATTTTAATTATTATTTCACTTAAATTTTTGCAAAAGTAAACTTTTTATTAGAAAAATATGAAGGTATAGGTAATCTTACAAGTGCATTGAATTGACATTTCGTCTAAAAACCAAAATGGTTACTTAAACAAAATCCCGTGCTGCCATTTCGATTGATCAAGTCAAGACGGTTGAGTTTGCGCTGACAACTTGCGACAAAAGTCAAACATAGTTTTGACATTTCAAATATTGACTTTAATTTAAGAAATAGTAAATATGTTTGTAAAAGAAAAAGTAAGGATAGGAAATTAAATAATATTATTGATAAATTTTGATTCGGAATAAAATATTTCAATTACATACCGATTCAAAATTAAAGAGTCTCAAATTAAAAACTTTAAATATTGAAAGGAGAAATATTGAAAACTATGAGATTTATATTTAGTCAGGTAGGCATGTATATAGTTATTTTGCCCTTTGTATGTAAAATAGCTTGATCAGAAGGCATTATTAAAAATTTAAATAACTAAACTTAAAAATTTTGAGTTGAAATCAATATATCTATGTATAAATCGAATCAGACGTAAGGCAAAATTTGGTTCAAGTAATACTAAATGTTTACTTTTCTAGGGAAGTCGGATTCTTCAGCAATTACATATCTCAAGTTTTATAAATGAGATTGGCTTAGAATAACGCTTAGCAATAGACTTTAAATTTGCAAAATATAAATTTTATAAGTAATGACATCACGTTCAAAATTCAAACCTCAAACGGAGTTGTGTGGTGATTGTGAGGCATCGGATCCATCATGGGCATCTATAAACCGCGGTATATTGCTTTGTTCAGATTGCTGCTCAGTTCATCGAAGCTTAGGTCGTCATGTCAGTATTGTGAAGAGTTTAAGACAAGGACAATGGTCGCAATCTGTTTTAAATTTCGTCAAAAATTTATCACAAAACGCAAATAGTATATGGGAACATTCACTTCTCGAAACAACGAATAATAAGAATATTAGACGTAAACCTACGCCAAAAGATCCATTACATCCGAATAAATCAGATTTTATCAAAGCCAAACATTGTAACTTGCAATTTGTTTTGAAGCCTAATGTCCACTATGACAATACACCAAATGGAGAAAATGAGCTAAGCAAACAACTTCATGCAAGTGTTCGTTCTGGAATATTGGAAACATCGTTGCGACTTCTAGTACAAGGGGCGGACCCAAATTATTTTCATGAAGAAAAAAGATCTACACCTTTACATGTAGCGGCTAAATTTGGTCAAACCTCCCAAATTGAATTGTTAATAGTTTATGGTGCTAGTATTAACGTTGTTGACGGAAATGGGCAAACACCAATAGAAATTGCAAAAAATAACGACCATAATGCTATTGCTGAAAGACTGATTGAGGCAATGTATGAAGTAACGGATCGTATAATAGTTTTTCTTGGAGGAAAAAAACCTGATCATGCCTCAGGAAAACATTTAAGTATTCCAGAAAGAAAAAATCTAGAAATAAGTGAGCACTTGAAAATAGCCCGAGGAAAGTTACAGCTGGTGCCAAACAAAATGTTTGAAGAACTAGTAATGGATCTATATGATGAAGTCGATCGCCGAGAAAATGAAGCTATATGGGTTACAAGTTCTCTCAACCCAGACAGTGGCGCAGTGCCTTTTCTGCCAGCAAATCCTTTTTTAAGTGCAACCCGAAATCAGGGCCGTCAAAAATTGGCTCGATTTAGTCCTATTCAGTTTTCTGGTTTATTAACAGACGTCTTATTAGACGCTAGGCGACGGCAAAACATGGCCAATTTAAGACCAGTTAATGCTTTACCTAGAAAGTTAAGAGTTGATGGTGCATCTAACTCTAATTTATCCGATGATGAACCCTTATACGATGATGTAGCTGACGATGATTATGCAGCATTAACTCCTTTAATCCACCATGAAACTCTACACACCAATAATGTGCCACCTCTCAACGCTACTTCAAGTGCTTTAGTAGAAGATCTTAGAAAACAGTTGATTTATTACATGTCTGAGGTTAATGAATTAAAATCAGTTGTGCACCAATTGTCTGCAGAAAATACTCATTTAAAATTGAAATTTTCGGAAAGCCCTCAAAACGATAGTTTTACAAATATTTACGATGTTCCTTTAAGAATTGATGTAAATGAAAAAGATAATGATCAAATGGATGATGGTTCATCATCAAGTCAAGGAAACTCACAATCCACAGCAAAGCGACCTGCCAGTATGTACGAAACAAGACCAGCTAATGTCATAAAAAATCCTGTTGAATCATGCCGAACAGCAACAAGTATGTACCAAATTGGAGGTGGAGAAAAGAAAGCAAACGAAGTTCCAGTAAACTTTGCTGAGGATGTACGCAGTCGAATAGATGTTATAACAAAACGTTTAAAGGAACTATGTGTCGCAATGCAAGATATTCAAAATCAAAATAACACATTCGTTCCATGCGCAGAACGTATCAAAGTTGCTGTCGGAGATTTGATTTCATTATTTCCATTAGATAATTGTAACGAGACTATTTCAGTTGCCATAAAACAATTGAATGTTTATACAAGTTTAATGCAAAAAGAATGCGAAAATTTGGCAAAGTCTATTCAGACAAGTGACAATCCAGCAATTGAAGCTTTTATACAAGAAGTTCGCGATTGTGCTTTACATTTAGCCAGTGCAACTAAGACACTTGTAATACAATTTCAATAATATTACTGTTTTTTTCTTAATTTTAAGAGAAGTTTAATAAGATTAAGTTTTTGTTTGTATATTAACCAGTAATTCTTGTATTTGATTTAAAAGAAATTTTTAAACTTTAGAATAAAAAATCAATTACTCAAATATTTTCTGACGATACCGAGTCTCATTAAAATAAAATAAATAAAACAAAGTTTAATACACACATAAATGCAATTTAATTAAAGTTTTGATTCATTATTTTTGTTGATTTATAACTACAACATATTGAGGCCCTTCATGTCGATTTATGTAAATATTCAAATGTGTAAATAAACAAGATAAGACTTTGGGTATGCAATGCTCAAATAAAAAATCGATAAAGAAAGCTTTTCAATTGACAGGAAATACTTATAACGCACCCATCACATATATTTTCAATTTCTTACTCAAACAATGAGTATACGCCTAAAACTTAAACCTCAAAGCGAGATTTGTGGAGATTGTGGAGCTTCTGATCCTTCATGGGCTTCTTTAAATCGAGGTATTTTGCTTTGCTCAGACTGTTGTTCAATTCATCGTAGTTTGGGTCGTCATGTTAGTATCATTAAGAGTTTACGACAAGGTTATTGGCCATTGTCACAACTTAACTTTATTAAGATACTTGCACAAAGTGCGAATAATATATGGGAACATTCATTATTTGATGTAAGCAATAATAAAATTCCAAAACACAAGCCAACCCCAAAGGAACCACTTCACCCAAACAAAGCAGATTTTATACAAGCAAAGCATTGCAATCTACAATTTGTTTTAAAACCGAAAATTCATTACGATGGTACGCTTGGAGGAGAAGTTGAGTTAAGTAAACAACTTCATGCAAGTGTTCGATCGAGTAATTTAGAAACATCTTTGAGACTTTTAGTGCAAGGGGGTGACCCTAACTATTTTTATGAGGAAAAACAGTCAACCCCTTTGCATGTAGCAGCGAAATTTGGACAAGCATCACAAATTGAATTATTGATAGTTTATGGTGCTAACATAAATGTTATTGATGGAAATGGACAAACTCCAATCGAAGTAGCCAAAAATAATGATCATACAGTTATTGCGGAAAGGTTAATTGAAGCAATGTATGAAGTAACAGACCGAATCGTTACATTTTTAGGTGATAAAAAACCAGATCATATATCTGGGAAGCATTTAATTATACCGGAAAGAAAAAATACTGAAATGAGTGAACATTTAAAAATAGCTCGAGGAAAATTACAATTGGTGCCGAATAAAATGTTTGAAGAACTGGTAATGGATTTATATGATGAGGTTGATCGTCGAGAAAATGAAGCTATTTGGGTTACAAGTTCTCTCAATCCAGATAGTGGGGCAGTGCCTTTTCTGCCAGCAAATCCTTTTTTAAGCGCAACTCGTAACCAAGGTCGTCAAAAATTAGCAAGGTTTAGTCCAAATCAGTTTTTTGGTTTACTAACTGATGTGTTAATAGATGCCAAACGACGTCAAAACATGGCCAATTTAAGACCAGTCGACATATCACCTGTAAGAAAGCTGAGACCTTGTGGATCTGTTTCTAATTTATCTGACGATGAGCCATTGTACGATGATGTAGCTGACGATGACTATACAGCACCTTTTTAATATTTAAAACTTAATTTGAAAAGAAATATTTATCAGTATTGGAAAAAATTTAATTAAAGTAACTTTATTGATTTTCCATTTTCACCTTAACTTTTGGTTTTTTTTTCAATACAACTTTTTTCAGTAAAATTACTTTGTTTTGTGAATCAACTATCTCCATTGTGGCATCAGTTCTACTTTTTATTACAATTTTATTTTCCAATTTATTGGACACAATCGTACAAGCCTTTGAGGTTTTATCAATCTCTTTAAAACTAGCGCCTGAGTCAGTTGGAGAGGGATTTTTACTATTAGATTTTGTAATAATTGGTGGTTTAGTTTCTGAAGAAATTTTCTTGGTTTGAAATATTTTTCTATTAAGCGTTGAAATTTTATTTTTTTCTTGAATTTTTTTATTTTCTAATTCTGTATTTTTGGTTAAAATTAATTTATTTGTTTGAGATTGATTTTGATCATAATCCGTCTTATCAAAAGCTCCTGATGGGAGAAATTTTTCAGACACGTTAAATTTTTCAACCTTAACACTTTGAATCGGAATAATATCTAAACTTTTGTTTTGAAATGAAGGTTCTAAACCTACATTTGAATCATCTGGTTCTATTTTAATTGGATTTGTTAGAATATTTGGTGTTCCTAAGCCATTTTGGGGTAACATATTACTTTCAGTCATCTGCTTCATCATAATATTTATTTCTTGCAACAACGGAACCCTTGAAATATCAAAATCTGAAAAAGACCTTGTTAAAAACTATAAAATTTGAAAATATCGTTTATCACCTTGGTCTACACGACTAACAACTTTCATTCTCGCTTCTTGATTAGCAGCATAAAAATCATTAGGTTTATGAAACACAAGATGTTTTTCGTACGCCAATTTCGTGAAAAAAATTGCTTCACATGTTCTACATTTAATTAGATCGTCAGGTTTCTTGTTTCTCTCTTCAGGTTGATGAATTTCGTACAAGTGTTTTTTAAGGCTATTTTTTATCATGTATTCTACACCACAAAGATGACAGTAATATGCTGAAAAAAGTTCGGATGAATTTGATCGTATTATTTTTGTAGATGATGGTGGAATGTACAAATCATTTGCGAGTAAATAATTGATTTGTTGATGTAAGGATTTCACGTGCTAGAATAATAAAACGAAAAAGTTTGGTTTTTTTTATATCGATATAACAATTCAAATTTACATATTGCAAAGCTACAGCATTAGAAAACGTTGCTGAACAATGATCACATTTTATCAAATTGCAGGATTGAGACATTTGATTAGCATGTTCTTTTGCCAAGTGTTCATCTAAAGAATTTTTCAATACAAATAATTTTCCGCAAAATTGACAAAAACTGTTTGGAATATCTGGATGTGCTCTATGTTTGTGTTGAATCGCTTTTGTTTGAGTAGGGAAAACCATTGAACAACTATCACATTGAGTTGATTTGCCATATCTATTTCTGGAATTTGCATGTTCTCTAAGATGTTGAATAAATTTCTTTTGGGATGAAAACTTGAGGTGACATTTTTGGCATTTCATCATTAACTTTTTGGTTCTCTCGCTACGTAATTTACCAGCTACGTTATTCTTCGAAGGTGCCATTGACATATTTTTTTCTGAATTTTTGCCCATTTTTAATGAAATTTGGATCAATTGATATTAAAATTTTACACTCAATCTATATTTTTTGAAAACTTTCATTATGTCTTTTTTAAAAGTGGAAAAAATAATGTAATATGCATATTCCAAGAATATAAATATCTAGTATTGGATAAAATAATAAAATTTAAAAAATAATTTTACTTAATACGTAAATTTTGCAAAAGACAAAACAAACAGCTAAATGATCAGCTGTCAGTTGTCATATTGACAACAAAACTTAATTTTTGAGCTAGCAAACCAAGGTAACATTCATATTTATATGTGGCAAACAACATACTTGCATAATATAACTACGTAACAAATTTGAAATTTCCAATTTTCGTCCATATTTTTGTTTTACAATTATTACTTTTAAGTAATTTTACCTAAATTTGAAAAATACAAGTTGTTGGTCTATTACCATTTTTGCAATTTATATCTCTAGTATATGTAGTGAACTAAAAGAGATAAAAAATACATGAAAAAATGTTTTAAAATTTCAACGCAAAAGCGCTTCGGTAACCTGAGGGATATTTTTTGTTAAAATATTGGATTTTTACACAATATCCGGTTTTAACTTTTCCTTTTTTTGACAGCTCTGAAAAGCTGAGACTCTTTTTATTAAAGAGTAATAATAATCTGTGTACTTTTTCATAATCTGCGTAGAAAAAAACCATAAAATATGGTGGTAAAAAAGGTAAATTAGTTGTGTTTTTAAATAATTATATGATTTTGTTGTTAAAGTTGATTTTTAACAAAACTTTTTGTTAATTAAATGATAAGTCACAGCAAACCGAAATTGTTATGTTGATTATGTTCATGTATGAAACAATAGAGCATGTTAACTTATAAAATTATTTTCTTTTAAGCCAATTAAAAAGAAGAAGCCAGTAACTAAGAAAGTTGCACCAGCACCCTTAGCTGAGAAGAAACCAGTCGTTACAAAAGTTGTTAATCCCCTTTTTGAAAAACGGCCAAAGAACTTTGGGATTGGTAAGCGCTTGAATCGGTGAAAATTTGGAATTAATTAATTTAATATATTTTTAGGTCAAAATATTCAACCAAAACGCGATTTATCCCGTTTTGTAAAATGGCCTAAATATATTCGTATTCAACGACAAAAGTCAGTTCTTCAAAAGCGTTTGAAGGTCCCTCCACCAATAAACCAATTCAGCCAAACCTTGGACAAAGCGACAGCAGTAAAGGTATTTAAACTTTTGGAGAAATACCGTCCAGAATCTGTTTTGGCTAAAAAACAGCGTTTGAAGAAAATTGCTGAGGCAAAGGCTAAGGGTAAAGATATTACTCCAAAAAAGAAGCCTATCTTTATCCGGTCTGGAACCAACACTGTGACAAAATTGGTTGAGCAAAAAAAAGCGCAATTAGTCGTAATTGCTCATGATGTTGATCCAATCGAAGTAAGTAGTTATTTTAATTGTCTTTGTTGTATTGATGCTTTGTCAACAATGATGCTAGAATTTCTTCACCTGAATTGATTTTTTAATTTTATTTAAATTTCATTTTCATGTTGAACATTGACATTCTGAGTTACAAAATTAATACTTAATTCTTTTTTCTAAAAATTATTTCTTTAAAAAAAACTAATCAAATTTTTTTAAAAGTTTACTAAATATTTTTTAAATCTGTTTTTAGTTGGTACTCTTCCTCCCAGCCCTTTGTCGAAAAATGGGTGTACCATACTGTATAGTTAAAGGAAAAGCACGTCTTGGACTTTTAGTACGTCGTAAAACATGTACGTGCGTTGCATTATCTGGAGTTGAATCAAACGATAGAGCTAATTTGTCTAAAATTGTTGAATCAGTTAAAACGAATTATAATGATCGACATGATGAAATTCGTAGACATTGGGGTGGTGGCCTTTTGGGTTCAAAGAGTTTGGCTCGTATTGCTAAATTAGAAAAAGCTAAAGCTAGAGAATTAGCGCAAAAACAAGGATAAAGTGTAAAATCAAAATTTGTATTCCTTGGATATAATTTTTAAGTTGAGACACTGTCTAATAAATATGTAAACTAATTTAACTGTTTTTATACTGAAATTTTACACTAAACCTTAATAGAAAGGATTGTTATTATTTTTTGTTTAATTTTTCATTTTTATTAGGAAAATTTAAATTCCTATTTTGATTTAAAATATTTTTTATAAAAATAAAAGAGAATTTCGTAACTTATTCAAAAAAACAAAAAAATGAGCAAGCTGATGCAAGAGCAAATATGTAGTATACATACATATATATGTATGTATATACAATTTGTGGAATTTAGATAATTTTTTAATTTAAATAGAAATGTATGTAAATTTGGCAAAAGTAGCATGGAAATTTCACAAAAGACCAAAACATCCATATTCTATTTTTTCTTTTTTTAATCAAAGGATTAATGAATAAAATCAGAAATAATGGACATAATATAACGGTGTTAACTATAGAAAATTTATACAACTAATTAATGGTAAATAAAGAACTTAAATATGTCCAATATCCAAAGAAGCCAAAAAATGATAATATTTAAAGATATTTGATTTTTAAATTCTAATATTAAATTAGCTCTGCAAGTAATCAGTAGAAAAATGTTTGTGTGTTCATTTTTGTTTTCGACATAAAAACAAAATATGTACAAAAAATTAAATTTGACAGCATTAAAAAGAAAATCTGATTCCGTCAGGAAATCGAAACGGAGTGAACATTGGGCCGGTTAATTCAAACAGTTTGATATGATTTCAAAGTTGAAGGCTCGATGCTACTTGACGTTAGTAATATATACTGTACGTATACCTACAATTTTACTAGCAGTGTTGTATGAAGATGGGGCCAAATAAAACATAAAAAGCATATTCATCTGCTGCATTATATTTTCACTGGTTAACAAATGTTCCATTTCGTATAAAAATCGTAATGTAAATAATATAAAATTTATTTTGGCAGTACCGGCATTTACCGTAGTTTTTATGTTCAATCAGCACAGTTACTGGTTTAGGACATGGATGGCAATTAAAGGGCACGCGTGCCAAACTTGGCACGGAAAAAAAATTTGATGGCACGTTATAGTTGTGCCTCGACAAATTTTTATATAGATTTTTTTTCTAATAAAAAATCTAAAAACTCGTTGAAAAATTGATTGAATGAAAAATTTCCTAAAAATGATAATTTCCTAATAGCGAAATGACAAATATTCAAAACCAAACATATTCAAATGTTATATTCTTTTTATTTTTGTTTTTTTTGATGAAATACACATTTTTGAAAAAACTAATTGGAATTTCACCTATGAATTTACAAATATTCTTGTTTCTATTAAGCAACAGTTTGCACAAAGATTTCTCGATTTTAAAAGGATCGAAAATATTTTAAAAATTATTAATTACCCAGATTTATTTGATATGCAAGATTGTGACAATAACCTCCTTAATTGGATGCGATTAGATAATTTAGAAATGCAAATTATTGATCTGCAATCCAATCCAATTTGGGTAAATAAATTTGTGAATATGCGGAAGCTTGTTGAAGATTTAGAAAGCCATCGATCCCAAAATGTGGAATCAGAATGTTTCATGGAAAGTAAAATTTTAGAAGCTTGGAATAGTATGCCAGATACCTTTTATTCAGTCAAAAAATTAGCAATCTCGTTGTTAACGATTTTCTCTTCCACTTACTCTTGCGAAAGTCTTTTTTCCGTTTTGAATCATGTACATTCAAAGACTAGAAACAGATTAACAGAGGAAGATTCGGCAGCATGTATTACTCTGCAGTCAACAATGTACCAGCCCGACATAAAAACTCTTGCAAGTAATATGAAACAAAAAGTTTCTGATAAAAAATTAAATTAATATTTTTTCTATCTGTATTTATTAATTTTTATACCTTGAACTATAATATGTATAAATAAATATTATTACAACTTGTCATAATATTGTATTTACCTAACCATACCTGTACTTGGTACTGTGCTGGCACGGGAAAAAGTGTGACAATAAATTTCCCCAAATTTTGGCACTTTGATCAAACCCTATTTGCCATCCCTGGTTTAGGAGGAGACGTAAAACTCATATTTTCTGTATAGATGTCAGATGGAGGAAAAATGGAAATGGAACACTATAAGTTGCAAATTTTCATCGAAAAACTTTGACAGTTGAGTTTTAAACGTCGTGGTGAAAGTATATTGGTAATTTCTAAGAAATTTACAAGTTCGCAACGGTATTAAAAAAAATTATTTAAGAAAAAAAACAAGAAGTTTTTTTTGTTGCCAATTATTTTATACATAAATAAAATATATGTAAATGAAAAATTTTTTTTTTTTTAAGTTGTAACATTTAATAAGAATTTTTTTCTATAGAACAATTTGAAGTATTTTTTCTTTAATATCAAAATTATAAAAATGTGAGGAGAAAATTAAAATAAAAAAGATTTTTTTTTTACTATTTATCCAGTCTCCACCCAAATTGGATCTGGAGCATTTGACGTGTCTGTCAAATAGAAAAAAAGATTGAAAATCCGATAAGTTGTGTTGCAATCTTTTTGTGTATTGTGCAAATAATGCAAAAATTTTCAACAATCATAAATGCAGTATCATTTTCAAATTTTTTTTTTGTAAAATTTATGTAACTCAAAAAGAAAATTTTGATATTTTAATAAAAAATATTTATAAAAAACAAAAATAAATTTCTCTCCACAAAAATTTCCATTAAGAAAAAAGTGTTATGCCAACAGATCAAGTGCGAAGGTGTTAAATTTCTATTTTGATTTAGTTGTGGTTTCTATTTGTATTCCATTGATTGGATCTCAAATTTTATGTTTTTTTTTCTTTTCTTAACAATGTAGAATTTATTACATTATTTGTGTTGAATAAATTAAGAAAATCGATTTTTCTTAAGAAAAAAATTTGTGCTTTTACATAAAAAAAAAATTCTGTTAAAAATAAAATGTTAGAAAAGTTTAAGGTTTTTTTTTACCATATAAATGTTGTATAGAAAAAAAAGTTCTTACCATAAATTAAGAGCAAATATCTAGGAAATAGTGGGTTATCAAAAGAAATTAAAGAAAATTTTTTTCATTTTTAATAAAAAAATATATAAGTATCCTATTGATTATATTTTAATATTCGATTAAAAACGTTTATCATCATGAGCGTGTTTAGCGATTTTCAACGTTTATGGACACAAAGATTTCCTCAAAGTTCTCTTTCTGATCAATGGGAACAGGATGTACGTAAAAGTCTTGAGAATCATAAACAAAAAATTAATGAATTGAGAAAAGAGATTGAACAAGAAACATTATACGTTGAATATTTAGAGCGTTTATTATCCGATGTTGAAAAATATAAAGAATCAGGTGGTGATCCAACTACTTTATTTGAAGCACCAACAACATCATTACAACAACATCAAGGCCCTGGTAATGGTACTGAAAATCAAGATGGAATATTGATGACTAATAACGAGGATAATAAACATAATGAAGATGTAAGTTGATAAATCTTTATTTAAAATTATACATTTGAGTTGGTAACCTATATAAGAAGGTAGGTAGCTACTTATAATTTTAACAAAATTATAAGTAAAAATTTTTGAACAAACCTCTAGGCTTTTTGAATACTACAGTGTTTTAAAGTCCTCTTGGTAGTTTATTATTCTGATTGCCTTTGATATTAAACTGTTTATATGTTTTTGTGTTCTACTCATCGGGATGTTTATAAGATTACAATTTCTCGTTGTTTACTTCAAAATCATTTCTCTTTTTATAAGTGTGATGTTGTGTTTAACATTATCATTCATGGTATCGTGTATGAATAGCAACTTTTCTATTGCGATGATTGTGTTTAAGTTGTCCATTTTTAATTGATTCCACATTTGATCCATATTATTCCCCCTATTATAGTTGAGTAAAACCTACATATTGCTCATTATTATTTGACACATATTTATTAACATACCCGAACAAGAAGAACAGTTTATTATACATAACTCTTAGTACTTAAGTGGGTGTGTACAAAATTTTTGTATTGTCAGAGTTATCAGTCAAATGTTTGTCTTGGTCAGTTCATAGCAAAGAAAAAAAAGTAGAGTCAATACTTACCTGCTGAAGCTTTTTCTTATATTTAATCGATAACTAAAAGTAAATTCAAAAAAATTTTAAAATTATGCTGAAAACCTACCTATTGATATTTACAATAACACTAGTATAGAAACGCGTCTACGCTATTTTTTTTCATAATCCACATGACTTATGTCAAACTTTATGTCAAAACATTAAGAAGATATGCTTACATCTTTTTATCCGTTGACTTGAATTTATAATATTAATTGTTTAAAATAATTAGTTTGCATTTCCTTGCTCTAATTAGCCAATCAACGATCTATACAAAATAATTAAGTAAATACTTAAGTAAAAAGGTACCTATATATCAAAATATTCTATTCAATTTCAATGTTAGGATTTTTCATTTTGAAAACCTAGTTTCAGTTATAAGCATAAAAATTTGCCTTATATGATATAAACTATATAAATGTAACTACACATAAGTACTATTAGTAATTTTTAAATAATTACCCACACCTAATTAATTAACTAAAAAATGAAATAAAAAAAAAAAAATTAATAGTGATGGTTTTAACCTACATAACTATACTATTCAACTTATACGTGGTAAGTAATGTAGTTAGTTATACGTATACGTATGTTATATACGCTTATAATTATTAAAGTAAGTAGGTACATAGGTACATATAAAGTAATTATTGGAATATGAAAAAACCATAGACCTGTAAAAAATATTCAAAAACAACTTAAAAAAATGCGTATTAAATTATTAGGTGAATAATTTACTCTTTTAGTCCTAATTCTGTAGATTAGTTATAGAGCTTAGTAATAAACTAACTACATTACTTAGTATTGCAATTGTATTCGAAATGCATTTTTTATAAGATTTATCAATGTTAAGTGCAAATTAAAATTTTCAGTTAAAGTCCAATGATTGTTAAGTTTTTTATTTTTAATAAGTAGGTTAAAACTATTATTTTAATAGAGCGTTTAAGAGGCGAAATAATACTTAAAAATTATTCTTTAAGAGAATGAACTCGAAATTTTTAATATCTTCGTATTGTATTCTTTATCATAAAGTTAATATGAATCTGATAAGGTCTTAATGTAAAATTATTACGTACTAGATATTAAAAATTAAAACGAATTTTTCCTACTATATATTCTTACATTAGGAGTTTATCATATTGAACTTAAAAGTTGTTTTGTGCGAGAGTTGTATTACTTAATTACATTAGAACAAGCAAAACTAAAATATTTCTTAAAATTAAATTAAAAGAATTAAAGGATCATTTCCACACATCACATTGCCAATAAAGTCACCTGTCTGTTATCACTATTAAATTTCAATACCATTCGCACATGTCACAATAATTGTTTAAGTATTTATTTTTTTATTTACTTGTTGTTTATTCTGAATAATTGAGCAGTAAGTAGACAGGTGTTTTGGCTTTTCAAAGAAAAATTACAAAAGGATGTTGAGGTTTCCTTTTACATTCATAAAGGAAACTATAAAATATACTTACTTCAACATTACACAATTACATATTTACTGTTAGTGCAATTTACTCTTCATTGATTTGAATAATATTGTGAATAAGCATAACTTACATTAAGTATACTAAAATGAAGTAAATATAACAAATGTATAAAGATGAATAAATAGTGTTTAAACAAGTTGGTCATGGATTTTTTAAACTAAAATATAATTTATTATTAAATATGAATGATCAAGTTATTATTTGATTGATATAACAGCATTGATTAACTATAAAGATGTAGTTACTTAACTCCACCTTTACTAATGTCAACATCACATAAATTACGTAAAATAATTTTGTTAAACTTGAGTGTAAAATTTTGAAAACTTGAGCACCTGCACGAATTTTATTTCAACATTTAGGTAATTGTTTTTTCTTGGTTTTGATATTTTTAAAGTTTTGTAAAACTTCTGCACTTAGTTTTTAAGTTTTTCGCAAAATGAGTATATTATACTTAAATAATAAAGTTTTTACCAATTCACTTTCTTCACTTTAGTTAAAAATTAAATGCACAATTTTTTTAAATTTTAACCAATTACTTAAACAATTTCTCACTCTATAATTTGCTTTAGAAATGAAAATATAAAATTTTTCACCTTTACAATATTGATTAATGCCCGTTTGAATTGTGAAAATTTTATACAAAGTTTCGTTAATTTTAAAAACCCACAAAAAAAAACTTATTTTAACTATAAGTAAGTTTTTTAACATAATAATTGATTCCATTGTAAAGGTTAAAAAATTTTTTCCATTGTTTTTAATAACTTTTTTAAAAAATATTAACGCCCTAAAATAAAATACAAAGAAAAAAAAAATGCTATTTTAATATATGCACAAAAAAAATAAAATTTAATCTTTTGTTTTTGGTTTTTTTTTTGTTCTTTTTTCTAAAATTCAATAATTAATGATTCGGTGTATGAAAGAGTTAAGAAACATAAAATCCTACGTTTTATTAGTAACATCAGTTTCGTGTATATGTGTATATAGGATGTTATCGGAAAGTACACTTTTTTTTTTTCCACGGGGACCGAGGCCCCTAGGCCCCACTTACGTCCACCCATAGGATCTTTTGTGATTCCCATACCCCTACATTAGCTCTATTCTTAGGCCCCTGACAAACCGCAGCATGGTAGCCACATCAAGCTGCGAGATCCTCCCCGAGGTCACAAAGCTCCCCCCCCAACCACCTCAGCCGCAGGCGAGCAAACGCCTCGCACTCACAGAGTAAGTGCTCCATGGTTTCGTCCTCCTCCAGGCATAAACGGCAAACCTCATCCGCCACCACGCCCATCCTTTTCAGGTGGACCCTCGCGAGGCAGTGTCCAATGAGAGCCTCCACTAATGTTCTCAAATTTGGACGACTGAGCAAAGTCAGATCCTGCCCCCCAGTCCCAGGGGACGCACAAATTTCCTAGAGTGCGACAGGCCCAGGCAGCTGTCCCAGTGTTCAACTCTGGCCCGCTCCTCCCATTCACTGAGGGCGCGCAAGACCGTTGTCTTGGGCACCCCAAAGCATGGCTCCCGCCCAATGAAGGGAGCCGCCGCTCCATCCCTGGCAAGACCATCAGCTCTCTCGTTCCCGTCCACCCCGTAGTGTCCCGGCACCCACATCAAGGTTAATTTGTTGTACCTGGCCAGGACGCCAAGGACGCCAATGCATTCTTTCAGCAGCCTGGATCCCACTACATCAGACAAGAGGGCCCCGAGAACAGCCCTACTGTCCGACATAATAAAAATCCTGCTTCTGCTTATGTTCCTTCTGATACATTCTAGAGCACACAAAGGTACACTTATAATTCTAATATACGATCGTATAAAATTTAAACACAAACGGAAGTTGAAAATTGCAATCAGTTTAATTTCTTTATGAGGTATTGTGCAAATATATAACAGTCTTGCTAGTGTTATGATAGTACATACAAAATTATTCATGTTCATCATGTATTAACCACGACTAAAACCTTATCTAACGTTTTGAGTCAGTAAATTTAACTTCTGTTGAAAGTTAAATAATAAACGGCATGTAAATTTTGTTTTACGATTAAGTGTTCATTTAAATTGTTAATTGAATTTCAAGTCTCAACTGCATAATTATTTGCGTTGATAATAAAGTCTAAGTTTTGTTAGTTTCATAATTTTAGGTTCATCAATTATTTATAATTTAAGATAATTATTGGTAGGAGTTTTTGCGGAAATAATTTTATTTTCAATTTATTGTTTGCTGTTATCATTATTTACATAAATTACTTATGTAACCACGCATGAAAATAAAAACCATTTTGATGAAAAATCCATTAAAATTACAATTTGTTAAATGAAATTTTATAAAAATACAAAAAGTATTAATCAATATGAGAAGATTACTAAAGCCTTGTTTAAGCAGAATGTTTTCATGAATCTAATATCAATAAAAATTAGGTACTTAAACCTAATACTTAATAACTAACTTAAATTTACATTATTTTAATTAAATAAATGAAGTCAACAAGTACTCGTATTAAGCTTGAGGTTATTTGTTATTGGCAGTCATAGTCGTATAAATTTTGTATTTTTGAAATTATTATTGAAAATATATGTATGTATATTTTCAATAATAATTGGTAAAAGCTAATGAATGATAACTTGTGCCATGACTTTGATTAGTATGCCATGCTTATGTTGTGATTGTGTGGTCTACTTGTTGGTAAAACTAAAACGTTACAATTGGAAAGCATTTTGTTAAACTATGTTTTAGACTTTTTTTGTATTTATTTGAAAGAAACACTTATTTAAAACCTTTTTTTTCTATAATCGTATATTCATAATTAACGTATAAAACGAACTAGCAGATATGCAAGTTTACCATAACTACTATGTACTAAAAAAACATTTCTTAAAGAATC